AATCATGTCATCTGCAAATAGTGAGAGTTTCACTTCTTCGTTACCTATTTGGATTCCTTTTATTCCTTTTTCTTGCCTAATTGCTCTGGCCAAAACCTCCAGTACTATGTTGAACAGGAGTGGTGAGAGTGCAGCCCTGCCTCGTTCCTGTTCTCAGAGGAATGGCCTTCAGTCTTTCCCTGTTGAGTATGTTGGCTGTGGGTTTGTCATAAATAGCCTTTATTATGTTGAGGTACTTTCCTTCTATTCCCATTTTGTTGAGAGTTTTTATCATAAATGGATGTTGTATCTTGTCAAATGCCTTCTCCGCGTCTATTGAGATGACCATGTGATTTTTATTCTTTGTTTTTTTGATGTGGTGTATCACATTGATTGATCTAACTTCCTTTTTTAAGTTGCTACTGAGACTTTGTGAATTTGAGGCTCTCCGTTACTCAACAAGTTTAATAAACCTGGCTTTACGTGATCAAGGGGTGGCTCTGGTGGTCTCTGTAGAAACTTTGACAAAGTCTATACACTTTATATCGCTGTACAGAAAATGAAGAATGGAAGAAAAAGACAAAACAAGAACACCCCTAAATACAACTTAAAGCAAGGTTCTATTAAAATGGACTTCTTGGGGGCCAGCCCCGTGGCTTAGCGGTTGAGTGCGCGTGCTCTGCTGCTGGCGGACTGGGTTCGGATCCCAGGCGCGCACTGACGCACCACTTCTCTGGCCATGCTGAGGCCGCGTCCCACATGCAGTGGCTGGAGGGATGTGCAGCTATGACATACAACTATCCACTGGGGCTTCGGGGGAAAAATAAATAGATAAATAAAATTATTAAAAATAATAAAATAAAATGGACTTCTTGGAATTAGTAATAAATCAACAGGAGTATCCATTATCCTTGATTTGAGGAGAACAGGCCTCTGCTTGCGATGCCAAACCATGCTTGAATGGTGGAAACTGCCATGGAAGGAGAACATCAGGGAAGTGTTGAATCCCAAGCGGCTGCAGTCTCTCTCCAAACAAACCACCCACTACTTGTCAAAAAGCACCAGATGATTGTTTTGGTCCTCTCTCTGCAGTATTTGACAATGTTGATCACTACCTCCTTCTTAAAATTCTTCTGTAGACTTCCATGATACTCTGTTTTCCGGATTATCTTTCATCCTTTCTGATAATTCCTTCTCAATTCTAGATGGGCAGGGAGATCAACCAAGATAAGGAATAAGAAATGACCATTAAGTTAGTGGTTATGATGTCATCCATACTTTTAGCAAAAGCAGTGGAGTGGTGGAGAGAGAAGACAGATTGCAAGGGACAGAGCAAAGAGAGTAGCAATGTAACCAAGGGCCCATTTAGAGCCAGTTTGAACAGACCCCATCTCTTATCAACAAAGTGACTAAGGATTGTCTTTCAGAAAATCTGCAAAGTCATGTAGCAAGAGCATGCGCAGAAGAAGAAATCTTGACCTGAAATGACTTTGGAACCAAAGATCCTCCTTCCCCTGGAACCCAAGGACCAGGACACGACCAGAACTTGAAAGTCAGACTCTTATTAGAAGCGAGGGGTCCCTCATTCATGAGGATCTGGTGTTAAAATTCCTTCCCTACCTCATGAAAAATGTTTACAGCCGTATCATAAAAGTTTAAAACCTCATCATAAATGTTTAGAACCCTGTGATAAATTTTTAAAACCTTACCATAAATGCCTGAAACCCACCAATCAGAAACCTGTCCTGCTAGTGTTTCTGCATGCCAGCCTATTCTTCCTAACCTCTTAAATTTCACCCCAAATCCTGAATCAGGGAGACAGATCTGAGGGCACATGCCTCCTGTCTCCCTGCAGATCTGTCTCACAGAATAAAGCTGATTTCTCCCCCAAAAGCTGATGCTATAATTAATTGGGTTTATTTATGCACATCGGGCAAAAGAACCCCAATTTTGTGCCATAACAGCAACAGCAACCATGGGCCTCTATTTCAAAAAGCTTGGAGGTCGTTACTGCTTTTGTTTGTTTTGGGTTTTTGTTTGTTTGCTTGCTTTTTGCTCTCTCTTGTCTATTAATGCAGTTCTCCAAGCAGTTAGTGTACATGTGACGTGCACAGGAGCTATTCCCAGAGCTGCTGGGATGCAGAGTTGGCAAGGACCATCCCTGTCCTCCGGGAGCAGGTATCTGAGCATGATGAGAAGCCAAACACTGTGGGACTCACAGAAAATGTTGAATACCCCATGAGCCCCCAGGTTACCTGGAGAGATTTGTTTTTAAAAATTCAAGAGGCTTGAACATACTTATGTGGGAGGATAAAAGCTAGAGATATGTTAATGTGCTTTCAAGTTGGTACTTTATAAAACTGAACCATACCTCATTAAGCCAGAGGCATCCATTGTCTTGAAGATTTTAAAGATTATTACAGCAGGCATGCAAAGAGAAAGTCAAGATCTAGCTTTTAATCACCAAAATAGGCTCTGAAACCCATTTCGGAGGTTGTGGTTGGGAATGAAAACCATCTATTCCCACACAGTTTACTACCTATATTAACATGCCTTTACTATTCCAATGTCTTCATCAACATGACTTAACTACCCCAGGAAACTCTTGCCTAGAAAGATAAAAGTGTAAATAACTTTATTGTTCTGTTCAGAAACCTTTTGATTTAAAGGAATGTTAGATTACTCAACATCTCAATAGATAGCATCAAACAACTCTTTGTTCTCTGAGACTTGATTGAAACACTCACCTCATTGTATCCATCAATCCTAAAACTACTACATCATATTATGTCATAATCGGATCCTTACTCAATCCTAATCAAGCCCCTGGATCAAAAGACCAGCCTTAAACCAGACCTGCCAATAAACCTTGTAAATGTCCCAATTTGGCCTTCGCTCTTCAGAGACGCCATGAGACTGTCAAGGTAATGATCTCCCTTAGTACAATAAGCAATAAGCTCAGCTTTGTTCGTCATTATTTTATTTTGGTGGTATTTTGGGAAAGTCAGTGAAACTGGGGGCCAACTTGCTTTAACTATACTCAGTTGTCTGTTTACAAAAGTAGTTAGGTAATGCATTACAAAGCCCATTCTATAGATAACATCTCTGATGCTTGGGTCACCATGGTAATGGGTGCTTAAGATTTTCAGGAACTGAGAGTTCACTCCTTGTCCAGTTCAGGCTGGTCGAGACCACCAACCCACCAACTGGGCCTGTGCAGGTGTCCAATAGTTGACCTCCTGACGTCAGGGAGCCAAAAACTCCACCGTCATATCGTGTTAACACTACCATTTTGTGAACATGCGTCCTATGAAGAGCTGTGAAGCTTGACTACACTTGCGCAGATCATCAATTACCTCACTTCTTACCTCCAATCATCTATTCCCACACTTCAGACTACTCTGCCCCCATATCCCATAAATATCCCTAATCCCCATTTTCAGGGAGGTGGATTTGAGATTTGCTCTCCTGTCTCCTTGCTTGGCTGCCTTGTGAATAAACCCTTTCTTTGCTGCACACTCGTCATCTTGGTGAGTGGCTTTATTGTTCAATGGGGAAAACAAACCTGCTTTGGTAACACCAGTATTGGACATAGTGTAAAAGCGAATGCTTTTTTTTTTTTTTTTGGTGAGGAAGATTGGCCCTGAGCTAACATCTGTTGCCAATCCTCCTTTTTTGCTTGAGGAAGACTGGCCCTGAGCTAACATCTGTGGCAATATTCCTCTATTTTTTATGTGAGTCACTGCCACAGCATGGCTTGATGAGTGGTGTAGGTCCATGCCTGGGAAGCGAACCTGGGCCACCGAAGCAGAGTGCGTCGAACTTAACCACTATACCACCAGGCTGGCCCCAAAGCCAATGCTTTTGATTTGCACAAGCCAGGGTTTTTGTGGAAAGATAAGGTTTTTATAAATCAAAGGGTAGAACTTTAAGCGAGCTGGGAATAAGTTTTATTTATAAGCAATGAATTTAAAAGAGAGCAGAGAAAGAAATGAATGATGCCATATGAGGATGGAATTAGGATTGCCCTGGTTTGGGATGGGCAAGCTGAGAGGTTTGAGGAAGGAGAAAAAGGAAGCAAGAAAGAGGCCAGTGGGACTTTGAGGACCTGGAGATATACGTGAAGAAGACAGTCTGGAGGGCCATTGCAGGCAGAGCCAGGGAGCCTCCTGGGCATGGTGGTTGTCTTGTTTCAATCCCTTGACCTTGCCCAGGCAGTGGCAAAACCTATCTCTACTTTGTGACTGTCTACCTATTACATTTATGTACTAAGGCGTGTTTCCTTAAAATATGGTCAGAATCTCTGGTGGGCCTGAATCTGTCTTTTTTAAAAAAAACAAACACCCCAAGTTTTGTTTTACACATTTAGTTTTCAGAACCAGTGTTCTAAGGGGAAGGAGCTAAAACAGCAGAAAAAGTTAAAATCACATGTGAGATAATATCATTCTTACTATTGTAGTATGGAGAATGCTTGTAAGTATTCAAATTATGGCTTTTCAAAGAGATGTTTATTTCTCTTATCAAGAAAAATTATTCAGGGGCTGGCCCTATGGCCTAGTGGTTAAGTTTGGCATGCTCCGCTTCGGTGGCCTGGATTTGGTTCCTGGGCGTGGACCTACACCACTCATCAGCTGCCATGCAGTGGTGGTGACCCACATACAAAATGGAGGAAGATTGGCACAGATGTTAGCTCAGGGCAAATCTTCCTCAAGCAAAAAAAGGGGAAGATTGGCAATGGATGTTAGCTCAGGGCAGATCTTCCTCAGCAAAAAAAAAAAAAAAATCATTAAAAAAACAAAAAAGAAAAATTATCCAACATATAAACAAGGCAAAAGGATGACTGAATGTCTGTTCAATGTCATACTGCAGCATTGTCCAACAGGCCTGCCCAAGGATTATTTCATTGTGTGGGAGAATGTACCTTTGACATACTGCTTTCTATTAATTCTGGTTTGTACTCTGTAAACTTACATGTTAACTTGTAGATTTTTGTTCAATAGAGATATCTAGTAGAAATGACAACCCCAAGGTTATGGTTTTATTGTCCTGTAGAACATTAACAATTCTGTGGCTAAATAAACTTATTTCAACATGTTTTTCCTGCTTGAGTATATATATTTCAGTTTCTCAAATGATCTTTGAACCTCCTTTGCTATGCTGTGGGTTTCTTCATTAATAAATTAAGTAATTTTTTTACATACATTCATTCTATCTTTGGGAATGTGTGGGGGCATGATGAGATCTGGGCTCTAGCTGCTCCTCTGACAGAATTTTCAGCCACTCTGTTTCCAGCTTTACCCTGCATGCCCCCTTCAAACGGCCTTCTCCAGCTAGCTTTCCTGGGAGTTCTGTGACATGGATCATCTTTCTTTTTATTGGTTTCCCACCTTGCAGGCACTTATCTTTTCTCCTTCATTATGTCATATGCCACCTGGCCATCCACTTTCCAGCTTTCAAAATTTTGTTGTCATAGCTTATCTACTGTCATATTTTCTATCTTTCTGTTTCCTTGCGAGTTTGTGCCTTACAAAATTTCCTTTCAGTCTTTCTAGTGGGGTTTTAAGAGGGACCCAAGACATATGTATGAGGTCAATCTGCCTTGTTTAACTAAAACTGCATGTGATTCTAAAATAGACCCCAAAATACAGCAGTGATTTCTTTCTCCATCACATGAAGAAACTCATCAAAGGTTGAGAGAGGGTGAAAGTCCTGGTGATTGAGCCATTTGTATCTCAGTCTGATCTTTAAAAAGTCCATTATCTTATGCTGAACATTAGAAATCACAATATTTTGGATCTCAAGCGACAAGTTCAGATATCCAATGCATCACTGAATTGCACTTCAGAAAGCAGCAAGCACTGGAATATGCAGAAGTGGTTTTTACTGGTATTATCAGTGTCATGCTTATATGAGCATCTTTTTCTTGATAGTTAATGCACTCCAGTATGGAAAAGTCATCTTATACATGCTGCCTATTACTTTTCACAGCATACTGAAAAAACATGCACTGAGTGGTGGCGGTTTAGTCAGATTACTTCCACACTGAATCCAGAAGCATATTGCTGACATCCGGCTGCCCTGAGTGAATAAAGGAGTATGAAAAACTGTCATTTTATTCACACACTATAATTGGCATCTATTGTCACCCCTTCCCCATCATCTAGTCAACTTTTTCTTGGTATAATTCCCTGATTTTCCTTTGGAAGAGCAGCCCTTCTTGCGTCTCAGACTCTGTGCTTTAGTAAGAGTTGAATTCATCCCCAGTTTCAGGGATGAATAGTGACTTCAGTATGGCCAGTCAAAGCATTGCATTCCCAGGATTGCTTTGTCCATTCGGGGTCTTTTGTTGTTCCATATAAATTTTGGGATTCTTTGTTCTACTTCCGTGAACAATGTTATTGGGATTCTGATTGAGATTGCATTAAATCTGTAGATTGCTTTAGGTGATATGGACATTTTAACTATGATAATTATTCCAACCCATGAGCATGGAATATCTTTCCATTTCTTTGTGTCTTCTTCAATTTCTTTCAACAATGTCTTGCAGTTTTCACCTCCTTGGTTAAATTTATTCCTAGGTATTTTATTCTTTTTGTTACAATTGTAAATGGGATTGTTTTCTTGATTTCTCTTTCTGCTAGTTTGTTGTTAGTGTATAGAAACACAACTGATTTTTGTATGTTGATTTTGTATCCTGCAACTTTACTGTATGCGTTCATTATTTCTAATAGATTTTTGTGGCTTCTTTAGGGTTTTCTTTACATAAAATCATGTCATCTTGAGATAGAGACAGTTTTACTTCTTCCTTTCCAATTTGGATGCCTTTTGTTTCTTTTTCTTAACTAATTGCTCTGGCTAGGACTTCCAATACTATCTTGCCATTTGCGACAACATGGATGGACCTTGAGAGTATTATGCTAAGTGAAATAAGTCAGACAGAGAAAGACAAGTACTGTATGATTTCACTCATATGTGGAAGACACAAACAGCAACAAACACATAGATACAGAGAACAGATTGGTGGTTACCAGAGGAGAAAGGGGGGTGGGGAGAGGGTGAAATGGGTAAAGGGGGACATTTGGATGGTGATGGATGAAAACTAGACTTTTGGTAGTGAATACAACAAAGTGTATACAGAAGTTGAATTATAATGATGTACACCTGAAATCTATATAATGTTATAAACCATTGTTACCTCAATAAAAAAAAAAAGCATTGCATTCCCTTGGCCAAATAAACTGATTCATGGAAAGGCATTTGACCCAGGTGGACTTAGCCAATGAGATTCAAGTAGACGTTAGTTGGGGCTATTGGAAGAGTGGCAAGGTGGACTTAAACCTGAGAGCATGTGTGATTGGAGCAGCTGGGAGACACTCTGTGGAGCCTGAAAATGAAGGTAACAGAGCAGAAGGCAGAGAGGAGAGATGGAGACACAACAACTTGTGATGATATTGCATGAGTGCCTGAATTCAGTAGTGTGAGCCAATAAATGCTCTATGGCTTAAGGCACTTTCAATTATTTTTCTGTCACTTGCCACTACGCCAACTAAAATTTCACTTTACGTCTAGCCACCCCTTTGGATTCGAAGCAGCTGCTTGATACTAACTCACCTAGCAAAGCCCTGCATTGCTGTTTGTAAAGCTGGTGCTACCCCAGCACTGGATCTTGCAATAATTTTACCTAAATGAAAAATTGCTTTCGTAACATGGGTATTCAGAGAGAAACAAAAGAAAACACTGAGTACTTCTTGCTCACATATGCTCGTTACATATGCCAAGAGCAAATTTATTTTAGCTATAATGTGAAATATCTATTCACATAAACACCGTAAGTGCTTGTTTATACAGAATGCCATTGATATTAGGGGATGTACAACACCATCATTTGATGAGAGAATTTTGCCAACAGGCCATTCCATTTTCCTTCCTAGCATAACATTTCCATTAACTTTGTGAGTGGTTTTACAAACTTCTTGGCAGTAGTACAACTTGAACCTTTAGCATCCTGGAAAGCACAATTTTTAGCTTATTCTGGAAAATCTCAGTTGGTTTACCAGAGAGGTCATTGTGCTTTGTTTATGAAAACTATTCAAGGCTTCGATGGCTTCCTGCCACTATTTGACAGTTTCATAACAGGCAAAGCACAGGGATCTAGAGATAAAATCTAATTTTCATCTCAACATCACTAATCATCAGGGAAATGCAAATCAAAACAACACTAAGATACCACCTCACGCCCGTTAGAATGGCTATAATCACCAAGACAAAAAACAACAAATGTTGGAGAGGATGTGGAGAAACAGGAAACCTCATACACAGCTGGTGG